CCAGATCGACTCAGCCTTAAGTGGGTAAGGGGTGTGTGGTCCAGGGAAGTAAAGGCAGCCGGCGTGATGATGACCACCACATCACCCATCCTGTGCCGATTGGTCGATATAAATATAGGTCTATACCTATATACCCTATACGCCTGGAGGCGTGGAAAAAGTGCCCTTTACTTTTTTTTTATATACTGTTTCAAAAGATAAATATTGCATACGATTCATTGACAAAACTGGAGAAAGATAGATCGACATCGTGAACAAAGGGCCTTGACACATCTCGTTTGTTATGCATCAATGACCCAGTAGTTCAGCACTAAATCTGTCTTTCTCTTTTTTTCTAAACATCCATGTATGCCACGGAGAAAAGGTTGAATGGACGCTAACTACCGGAGACCGCTAAAGTGATGCCTGCAGTTCTGCACATTTCAATAATGCCTCTTATCTTTCTCGGTTTGCTTTGAGAGTCTTTTAGGAGAGGACTTCAAACGAAAACTTTAAATGTGTAATAGAAATTAAAATAATGATACCATTTACGTGTCACTAGGCAATATGTTTTTTTTTAAATGTAAAGACTGTAGAGCATATGACATCATGGTGCAGACAAACGCGATGACAGACTCGACAATAAAAGCATAAAACAACAGTTTTCCGTTTACGAACAGGACACTGCAGGCTCAACTATACAACATGCATAAAACATATTGTATAGTCCCCACAGTGTACCTGTCAAACAGGACCGCAAACACATAAGAACATTCTGCTGAGTTGCCTACTCTACCTACAACTTCAAAAATACACCTGGCCTCAAGAGCAAAGTTTGCAGAGAAAGCTATGCGGAGCAATGAAGGATTTGCCACTGACATTCGAGTTTATAGAGGCAATCCACTTGATGGTCTGATCTGAGCAAACGAAACCAAACGCAAAGAAGAAGAAGAAGAGATATGTGAAAAGGTGAAACTAATAGAAATTCATCGGTGAACCAAGATCCAGTATGGTGATGCATGCCTGTCAGTTCAGCAAGTGTATGAGTGCACTAGGAGTTTCAAAACGGCGTGACTTCTGTGTCAGACTGTACACGATCTGGTCGTGAACAACAATCATAGTATTTTGTGTGCAGCTCGTTTGCAAGCCAGCGGAAAGCTGATGTGACTGCCTTCACTTCCATTCTCAAACTAGATGTTAGCGTAATATTAGGTGGCCGCCTTAGAGCAGTCAATGGAAGGCTCGCTTTTAAATCCAGCTGGGGTAAATCCAGGAACGTCGCTACGGAGCTGCGTGCAGATGGCAAAAAAGACGCACAATTTCTTATCAGCTGTCTGTGCTGGTGGCAGAGCAATTATTGTTTATAACCGTGTGAAATGACGCTGGGTCACATCTCCAGACTTCACCTTTTACACTAGTCTTTGCGACGCCGTTTCAATGACCCTGGCATGCACTTAACATATGTTTCCAAGATATATCAGAAATGAAATAAATCTGCCAATTGAAACTATCATTATCATTTTCGATAATGATATGCATAGCCCCTCCCGGTTACCCATTCCACACGATTACCAGAATCACTGGCAAATTCACTGGTCCTGTCCCGCACCATTCATAGAGCCAAATCAGTCAGGTATTTCCTTCGTTGTTTTCCCTTTGCTCTTTATCCGCCAGTCTTGCTAATTGTTCCTAAGTTACATAATTGTTCCTTAGTTAGATGGTCTTTTTCTTAACTGCAAGTACTTGAAGTTATGGCTATTTTAAAAACAAACACACACATACACACACAACTCTAGTTCGTTCTCTGTGTTGTCGCCTTTAAAAGGCACAGTAAAGGACCCTTGTCACATAATTGACCCTTGGAAATGTTAATGGACACTCCTATTTAGTTATTATTCAGACTTTTTTAGGCGATCAGGTAAAACGTCATGCTAGCTGCCTTTACTTTCCAAGACATTTTTATGTACTCATTTAGACTGGGTTAATCCAGGATTCAAATTAAACTTTTTCTTTCTCTCAAATGAACCCCTTGGGTTAGTTCGACGTTAGTCTCCCCAAATAGAGTAGGTTACTTTTCATTTACACTTATAAGAGTTCGACTTTCCTGAAGGTTACGGATGTGTCCCGCTCTGTTGTTTGGCTTCTGCGACATCTTGTATTTAGGTTTTTACTGCGAGAAAGAGAATGCCTGTGACACATAGGGAGTGCTGCAACCAGTGTCACAGGCATTGTGTTAGACCCAGTTTCATGTTTTTACAGTGTATAAAGCGAGGGCGTGCTGAAATATAAAGCACACGATATCAACGGCATTGCGGAACATACCCGTAACCATGTGTGAAGGTCGCGGGGCTCAGGAACTACTAATCCGACGTGAATGTGTATATATGCAGGGTTTGGGGAGACTAATGTTGAACTAACCCAACCCTCGAAACAACAGATCTTGAGACCGGTAAGAAATCGTCTAATAACCATGGTAGTTAAGGTAAAGACTGCTTTTACGAATTAGATCCAGTCTTTTCCATATTAAATTCAAGCTTTTCCAAATCAAATTTAATATTTGCAGATCCCGCTTCTATAACAGACATTTAAATACTTATTAAATTAAAATGATACACAATGACAGTTGTAGCCGTACCTTGAACATTTAATTGCATGTATGCAATAAATATAGAGATGCAGAAGCCAGAGTTCAGAAGGCAAATGCTATCACCTACTAGTAAGCTTCACTGCTTAGATAACCACATGTTTCCATTTCTGCAAAACATCAATTGATTAATAGACTTTATGCTATCAGTGCCAAACATGGACAATGAATAAAACACTAGAACAGAAAATAACTACATGTGAGATACGCTGTCTCCGTAAGGTCACTAATAACAAAAAAAAAAAATAAAAAGGATATCCCTCCGAATAACGCCGTGCGAAATTACCGAGAGTGGCTAGGAAATATACCCTAATAGGGCCTCATGCTGTCATGAGTCAGTTGCGCACTTCACGCCGCGGGCCTATACTCGCCACCGGTGGTGGCCGAAGTTGCGAACTTCTACGGGGACTTTTGACCACCGCCGAGAGTATTTTTCCGCTCCATGGCTAGGACCTCACTAGCAAATAAAGAGAAGGAAGCTGCAGAAAAAGAGATAAGGCAGGTAGCTGCTGCTCGTGAGTCCCAGTCATCTAGTTTAGACCCCAGTCAGCTCGCATCAGGCGGGAGCGGCGAAAGATGGATACTCTCGATTGATGACAGAAGTCGCCAATCAGAGGAAAAAAAAAGAGTGCGCAATTTAGACTACGGAAGTTTGCAATTAACACGTGTTACTGGTATTTGCCCTGTTATGGTATATTTAGCTGCGCCTTAATAATTTACGGACCGTTATTCAGAGGATAGTGCTCCGTTCTTCTTCTGACTCAGTCTGCGTCAAAAAAAAAGTGCACAGACAGGGTTACGAATTAGTTGATTGGAGAGAAAGTTGGAATAAGATCAGGTCCAGGTTCTATTGACAAACTGCGCAGCTCCCTTATAAAATGATTAAAGTCCATTAAATTTAAAGAAAGGTCGGCCAGCGTTGACTACTGAGAATGTGCGCAAGCCAGACATTATTACAAACTGACTACTATTATTTACGAATACTGTTTCTGCAAACTTATCTTGCAAAAGGATAAATTTCAGCATCTGGGAGGTAAATCTGATTTGCCAGGGAAAAAGATCAAGAAGGAGATGGATAAATGGTGTCGCCGAAACCTAGAAACAAATTAACAAACCAACATATTTCACTGTTCGCGTCACTGCTTTCATCATGAGTTTATTGACTTCTAATCATTAAACATTTCTTTGACTGGTTTTTCTTATACTGTTACAGTTGTCCCAAGGGTACAGCTGCGAAAAATATTGTCAGCTGCTCTGACACAAAGATACTCACTTATTTCCTATTTTGAAAGCTAGTTGCCTGTCCTGTTTAGGACGTTGCAAAACCAACCCCAGCTGTTGCGATTTTCATATGCAAAATTTACATTCAGTCGTTTGCCATTGCACTAAACTGTCGGCTTTTGATACCACTGTCGAAACCAACGCAAGGCGCTCTGCTGCCAAATCAAACCGAATCTAGCACCCCAGCATTACAAAGAGCGTTCGCAACAGCTAAGCCACAAACGCTGGCGTTTTCTAAGTAAAACGTGTGAATTCGTAATTACAGTGCAATTCATATTAATGAAGTTTTTCAAAACATCATGAAGTGAAATGTGTGGTACATCATATTTGAAACAAAATAACATTGGCTAATGTAGTTGAGCTGTGATTATCTTAGAGTTCAGTCACTTTCAGATCCCTGCATATTTCCTCCCAATCACTTAGAACAAGCTGTTTCTTGTAATACTCAAAGAGGCGGTCATCATCATCATCATCCATGTTTTCATCCTCATCATCTGAAGGCTTATCGATCACAATCTTGGGAGTCTGCTTACTCCTTCCTTTTGCCTTTGATCTACTGTCAGAAGTAGCCATCATTTGGAGACGTGGCTGCTTCAGCTAAGGTTGGTGCTGAAGTGGAACCTCCAAAGAATACCCAGTTATTTACATAAAAGAAGTCACCGACCTTCATGCTCTCATTGTTAAGCAGATGGGACACAGAGTCACATTTAATTCCACTTCTACTTTGTCTGCCAGATTCATTTCTGTGAATCAAATCTTCTTCTGATTTTCTTAACTGTGCTTTCGATATCTGAGGCAGAGACATTTTCACAAAGGAATACTCACTGGAACTTTTAACCATACCCGAAATTTGTCGGTCTTCAGAATGAGCAACCATAGATAAAATAGCTTGTTCGGATAGGTCAATAAGCTGAGAAACATCTGTGTTGCTATGTGTGTACAGCTCATCAAGTTTAAACAGCCCATTTTCAAGTTCAGGAAGTAAATTAGCACAAGAAGCATTGTCTAAATTCCTGCTGTTCGGTGGACAACTAGCAACACAAGAATATTCTGTTGCTTCCACAACATGTGTATCAAAGTTCTCCCCCGAGCGTAGTCAGACTTGACAAGGCGGTGGCGTCGATGGTGCTTGTGCCACAGTTTTTCCTGGCGTAGTGATGGCGACCGTTTCTGTGGCCATTTCTGATTCGCCATTAGTTCTCATGCTCATTTTCTTTTTCATGAGTGTGTCAGTTTTCATGCAAGATTCCTCTAGACCCAAAGTTCTGAAGCAGTAACGGCGTATCTTTCTGTCCATAACACCATAAATTATAGGATTGCAGCTGTTGGCAACGGCGTAGACAACTGATATACCCACGTAAAAATCTGCGCTAAGCTCCAGCTTGCGGTCAATGAAACGAACGATGCCATACGGCAGGTATCCTAGAATTATCAATAGAAAGACCATGCCAAACATTTTTGTAACCTGGATTTCTCTTCGCAGCCATTCCCGCTTACGTGTGGCTCTGATGGCGCTGGATGAGCGAAATACTTTAACGAAGATTGCGATGTAACATGCAATAAGTATAATGGATGGCAGCATTTGCAATGTAACACTAACCAGCATTGTGTATAAACCAAACTCCTTTCTAGCTAAACAGCGAATCAACTTTGGCTGAAACTGTGACATCTTCCCTAGATGTGGATTGATCATAAACAACAGAGGGACGATTCTAGCGAACGACAAAACGAAAATTGTGTAGGCTTTCTTTGAAATTTTCTTGTAAAAGCTGTTGAAGCAGACGACAATAAGGCGATGTATAGAAATGAGGGCGGTGTGCCACAAGGAAGAACCCATAAGAAGTACTGTAAAATGCATGACCATTTCACAAATGGCCAGCCCCATCGTCCACTTCATCATAAAGTATGATACCAAAACGATCATGTTGTTGATGCTGAGGTTGAGTATATCATTTATACAAAGGCTGACTATGAAAACATTGGTTGTGCTCTTCAAGTCTCTATTGGTCAGGATCACGAAGGAGGTGAGGATGTTACCAAAAAGGCCCCACAGTAGAGCTATCAGCATTACGATAGCTCCTATGTGAAGTGCCAAAGCTGAAGGAAGATCTCTGGAGCTCAAGCCGTTAATATTGTAATAAGTGCTTCTGTTAAAAACATCAGAAAAATTTATGGTATAGTTGGCAAACTCTTGTCCGTTAATTTGGACATCAATAAAACTCTGCGATGACATTTTTATTTCCTTTTTTTTCCCTTTTCTAAGCAACTCGTAATGAGTTTTCGCCAATCCCTTGAGTTCACAGCAACGCTTACAATAATCTCGCACTTTTTACACTTGATCAGAAGATTCGAAAAAAATCTGACTTGCACATGGTCATTGTGCCAGTATGGATAGCTTTTTGCAAAGTCAAAGTTTCATGATTTTATATAATTATTCCTTGCAGCATCTGCTGCATATAAAGACTTCTGGATTTAAAAAATGAAAGCATCAGCAAAAATAATTCGAAGTAATCAGTCAAATGAATATACTCTTTGCTGAAATGCTCTGAGCGACAAAGGTGTTTCAAATGTATTATCCGTGTCAGTAAGATCTGGAGAATATTAAATACCGCATTGTAAAGAGAACCCTCCTTTTATGAGAATTTTAATATTTCCTGAAATCCAAATTAATATGATGAAGTTGCTGTTTCTGCCGTTGTAGATGACACAATGAATAATTATAATCTTTTTAGACAAATAACTGTGCTTATATCTTATTCTTCCTTTACTCTTGCAAGACTTATATACAGCAAGTTTTCATCGGACATTCAACCCGTGTTAAGTCCATGATGAAATTACACGACTCTAGAAAAGGACGGATGTTTCGTTTCAATATAACGTGATCAGTTTTTAATCCCTGTAGTCGATTGCGATGTGGATTGTGATGTCTGCGACTTCTATTCTGGGAAACTTGGAATGACTTGTACGACGTGAGAGCACAACACAGACCAGTAAATGTTCATCAATAATGAAGAAGAAGTATGGAGAAGAGCTTCGACAGATTTGTGAGCCTGCACATGCTCACACTTGGACGCTCAGCTCCCCATGTTAGCATATCGTCAACTGTAATAAAGATGAAAAAGAATATGTTACTTGTTTTTATCGACAACGCAGTATGCATACATTGGCACACGTTTTAATGATTACGTGCATCTTCTACTGGATTGTAATTGTGACGCATTCGCCAACGTCATTGTTTTCTATCCTCTTATCCGACTTTAACTTCTTCTTCTTCGTCGTGATCATTTAATTTTTTTTTTTGACGCGTATTAATCTTGTTCTTTGAGTTTTTCCCCCTTCTTCTTGGTTTCTTCTTATTCTTTTTTTTTTTTTTCTTATTATTTTTTTAATCACTATTATTATTAGTGTAATTCTTCTCTTCCTCTTCCTCCTTCTATTTCTTCTCTTACCTTTTTTCTTCTTTTTTCTTTCTTCTTCTTCTTCTTCTTCTTCTTCTTCTTCTTCTTCTTCTTCTTCTTCTTTTTCTTCTTCTTCTTCTTCTTCTTCTTCTTCTTCTTTTTCTTCTTCTTCTTCTTCTTCTTCTTCCTCCTCCTCTTCTTCTTCTTCTTCGTCTTCTTCTTCTTCTTCTTCTTTTTCTTCTTCTTCTTCTTCTTCTTCTTCTTCTTTCTTCTTCTTCTTCTTCTTCTTCTTCTTCTTCTTCTTCTTCTTCTTCTTCTTCTTCTTCTTCTTCTTCTTCTTCTTCTTCTTCTTCTTCTTCTTCTTCTTCTTCTTCTTTTCTTCTTCTTCTTCTTCTTCTTCTTCTTCTTCTTCTTCTTCTTCTTCTTCTTCTTCTTCTTCTTCTTCTTCTTCTTCTTCCTTTTCCATTTCCTTTTCCTTTTCTTTTTCGTTTTCATTGTCTTCTTCTTCTTCTTTTCTTTAACCTCTTTTTCTTCAAATTCTTCTTACTCTTCAGATTCTCTTCATTCCTCAGGCGCATCATATATATTGTGTTAAAAACATATTTGTATAGACCAATTGGCCCTCTGTGTGTGATGGGGTAAAGATCACGCATTGCGCTTTTTATCCATGGAATTTTCCGATATCCATCTAAAATGGGGTCCCCCTGAAAACATGAATTATACAAATTGGTTAACACTGTGCGTCTCAGGCAGTATTTCAATAGTGGCGGGGCCTCGCTTTGCAAGGTGGCCATTTCTCCATTCAGTCCCTTTCCTCAGGGATAGTTTCCAGTCTGCACCACTGTGCCTTAACAAGCATGTCGTAAAAGGTGACCAATGAAGGTGTTACTGAGAAAAGGATGTGTTGGACAGAAAGGCACAGCCATGACAGTCTAGATGTAAGGCTGGCTTGTGCGATTACAGGACTAGTTAGTTAGTCTTTCGTTTTGAGCATAGGGCCGCGCATTGGGTAGAGGTCATAGCACTCCATGTCTGAAGGTTTGTTGCCACCGGTTTTACCTCTTGGATGTTTAATAGGCCCATGGTTGAGCCTTCCCTGATGATGATTCTATGCAAGATATCTCTTGGTTTTCTTCGTTTTCTTTTCTTTTTCGGTGTCCAGATCATGAGATGAATACCAGGGATAAATCAAGACGACATTTTTTACCTTTCGATCTCTCATTATTGCGGAATTTTGTTTAGGTTTAGACGAGGATCAACACTATGGCACAAGAGTAGCAACCCATAAGTGCTTCGTTCTAATTCTGACTCTAGCCTGAGTCCGAAGAATCTGAGGGCATTGAACGAACTCCCGAGCACCGGCGAGGATCCTAAAATACTTCGGGTAGATTTTCAACTCAAAATTTTGCCCGGTCAGCGCTTGACTTTGATGTACAAATCAACCATAATCGAAATGACTATCAGAAATTGCCACTGGAAGTAAAAGCACTGGTAAGATGTCAATCCATCAACCATTGATACAAACTGGACATCAAAAATATGTCTTATACCACATGTACACATGGAGAAAAACGGGGCCTATTTAATTATGCATTTCCAACGTCAGCTTCTTCTGCCTTCGTCTTCACAGGGGCGGTTGGTAAACTGTGTTGCTGCTTACAGCTAGAATGGAATGGCTGTTCTTGTTTTGTCCTAACACATCAAATTTCAGTAAACCCCTAATCGGTCACTTTTTACGACATGCTTGTTAACTCTTTGAGTCCCATGGGGTTTAGCATCACAGGCCCAAGGGGTAGTCAAAAGAGATGTAAAACGGGCGCATCTTGTGTTTATTGGGCCTCTAAGTAGGAATCTATTAACGTATGAAGCGTTCCTTGGGACTCAAAGAGTTAAGGCACATATAGATTCTGAAAAAAACCTCCACAGACCCCCCACCCCACCCCCCCCCCCCCCCCCCCCCCCCCCCCCCACCCAAAAAAACCCAAACGTATTGGATATTTTATTTTTAACCAGCATAAAAGATAGAATTACACGCACACAATAATATTTCTCAGACCGGACAATTATCAGGGAGCTGGAAGACATGTTGGCAGAAAGGATAGGTTGAATATTTGGGTAGAAAAGTTAGAGTGGGATGAGCTCTGTATGTAGTGTGTAGTGATAGTCTGGCTGTAAACTGAGTAGGCTAGCTCTGCCAGTGAGTTTGTCTATTTGTAATTTACAAATTGTTCAGAGAAAGTAAATTCAGTAAGTGCTTTTGCACACTACCAATAGTAATATCTTTTCTTCTTCTTCTTCAGCTGTAAACTCCGACGGAAAGTTATGATTGTTCGTCCACTTCTGGACTTGTCTTATTCCAGAACAAGATTGTTGCGTGCACATCCACTTTACAGATCCGTCATATACGTATGCAGACCGTTGGTTCCTTGCCTGTAGGGCAGATGCACCGCGATTTTGAAGGAAACCACTTGCTAGTCGACTCCTACGACATGCTTATTGGGAAGGCACTGGGTCTCTCTTTCTTTTCCCCACAATGGAGACTCAGAACACACAGGGGGAATTAAAATACTGTAAACGTATGGACAACTTAGAAGTCAGCAGGCGAGAGGAAACTATCTCACAACGTGTGACAGCTGAAGTAATCACACAAGCATTCATGGTTCTATCACTACCTGATTTAACACTCTATTATACAGTCACAAAAGTTGAGTAACGGTCTGTGGGATGTTAATGTCTGTTATCAGTTACAAGAGCACGAGGACTGCCGCGAAAATATGGATCGACATCATAAAAGACACTACGCTTTCACGACAGTACACTTGACAGTGGTTGATAAAGAGTGCACCGGATTGCAAATTATTCCTCCCCACGTCGCTTAACAGAAGAAGTGGTTTATGAGGGTGATGATGATGAATATAATGTCAGGCTTCCACAAATAAAACAAATTCCATATTTACTTAACTAACTAACACCACTGCTGTCTTCTGAAAAACCACATATATGGCATTACCCATATGTTATCAGCTAGAACCAAAATGCATTGTTCGACACTCTCAATATGCCTCGCTCCACCCTAACCACAAGGAGCTTACTATTTTCTCTAAGCTTATGTTCATACTGTCTTCGTATTACTCAGCGTGGGGTATCGACTGTTTCAAGAGTGGAAGTGTGGACTTTCTCTATACTAGTGACCGCATTAGACTGGTTTCTACACAGGTATCGATGGCCGACCTTTCGGTAAGCACCACCAACCTGCTGAACTTAAAATTGCCTATAGTCCGACTCAGAAGTCATGCCCAAAATTAAAAAAAAAAAATTATAAGCATCACCAAAACTAGACGACCTAAACTATAAAATAAGAATAACCAACGCTAGACGACCTAAACTAAAAAATAAGTATCACCAACGCGACACGACCTGAACTATAAGATAAGTATCACCAACGCTAGACGACCTGAACAAAAAGATAACTATCACCAACGTGACACGACCTGAACTGAAAGATAAGTATCACCAGCGTGACTCGACTTGAACTATAAAATTAGCAGCACGAACGCTACACGACCTAAAATATAGATAAATATCACCTATGCGACACGACCCAACTGTAAGATCAACAACGCTACAAAACCTAAAGATAAGCATCACCTACGTTACACAAAATGATCTCTAAGAGAAGATCACAACCTGAACTATAACACGGGTATCAACAACGCTACACGACCTGATCTATATGTACAACATTAAACTTTAACTCCTTTAGTACCTGACCACTCAACATATTTATTGATGACGGTACGCGTGGAATTTATAGACTAACCTTTTCTGACGCATT